GGTTTTCTTGTGGTTTATAATTTGAGGCACAGCTCATCACGCCAGGGAAGGAATGGAAGTAGCTGTTGAGGCAACCAGTCACCTTCACTTACTGTTGAGAGGCAGGGATTGATAGATGCTGGTATTCAGTTTATTCCTCATTTGAACGAGTTCAACATCCTGGCCTCTAGGAGGACACTGCTCATCCAAAGTAGAATAGACAGGAGAGTTTTTTCCCCCATCTCAGTTAAACCTTTCTGGGAAACATCCTCATAGACACACTTAGTGATATGTTCCCATGGTGATTCTAAAAGTAGACAAGTTGACAATGAAATTAATCCATTTGTTTGTGGGATACTTGAAGGGTTCACTGTTTTGGCCTCATCACCTTTCTGTATTAAATGATGACATGATTAGACATATCATCTCGAAATGTTATCAAACTTAACTAGCTTATTAGCATAGGTCTTAAGATATTTTGATCACATTAGTGAAAATATTGTGATCACCAGCATGAGAAAATTAGAAGAAATGACATTATTTACATTATTTATATTCTTTGAAGTATATCTTAACCCAAATAAACAACAAAATAAACAAAATAATGGAGTAAGTCAAAAAGTTCCTTGACATTTTACATAGACGTAGTCACTTTTAATATAATTCTCTTCTAAACTAACTACTAAATATTTAATTTTCATTTAGTTTTAAAACTGAGAAGCCTAAAGACTTGGATCAGTAGTTTAAAGCACTCATTGCTCTTACAGAGGACCTTATTTTAATTTCTGCTTCCTACATGCTTGCTCGCAGCCATTTGTAACTCCGAAACTAAAGGATCCAATGTCCTCTCCAAACTTAGTTCATTTTCTTCACATACATGGTGCAAAAAGACACAAACAGGCAAATACAAATCCACTCAAAATAAATAAATTAATTGCTAAAATATTATAATGTGTGATGGCGTACCCCTTATTAGCTAGTAATGCTGATGAATGTCACGGCTAATAAAGTGAAATCATGTGATCAATGCCCTAGGAGGAATGGAGCCTCTTATGAGGAAACTGAGTCTCAGAAAACTGCAGGAATGACAGCAATGCTGCAAACCAACAGTAATATGATTTTGACTTAATCTGAGTTGAAAAACCTCATCATTAAATAAATTGTCATAAATTATTTTACATTACTGAGCAACACGTAGTAGTGAAGAAAGAAGCAAACTCTTAATTTACATTCCTAAGAGAGGGACAGAGTGATCATGGGTTTTTATGTATATGAGGGTTCATTTTTCACTGGAATGGAATATTGAGACATACAGAGATGAACACAATTCTAAATGTCTGTATAAGTATTTCAAAATGCAGGATATTTCAGCTAGGAGCTGTGTTCAAATTGGAATCGCGCAGGAAGTCTATGAGCCAGCAAATGACTGCATGCTTTAACATTGCAGATACCACAATAGCTGACTCTTATTTTGTAGGACGGCAAAGCAAATACTATCCTGGAAGATGGATACAGTCTTGTCACTGTAAGAAATACAATACTTTTAAAGAGAAAATGATGCGTAGCTGTCTGCAGCCCAGAAATTCCCTGAGATGTCACATCCTGTGGATCTGTTTTCAAAGGAAAAGTTGTTCTAAATCCATCTGCTAGTTTTATAATGACCCTTTCTCCGACCTGGTTAGTTGGGAAATTTAATTTTCTCATCAAATTAGCCATTTGTGTATAGACATAGGGAAGTTACTTTCTATAAGCCAGCAGGTAGAGGAGGGTGGCAGAAATGCTGAGATGGTACTGGATGGGGGAAAACGCAGTGGTTCAGACTTTAAGTGTCACCTCCTGGGGCCAATCTACCTGTCACGACTTCATGGAACCCACAATCTCACTGACATATCAAAGTCTCCCACACATACTTTGACATAATGTCTGTCTCTCTTTGGATGGGACCGGTATCGTGTAGACACTCACACTTGCCTCACATTCATCAGAAGTACTGATATATCTGTGTCAGCAAAGCACACTGGATCCGTCCATTCTCCCTTTAGCTGAACTGAAAAATGACCCGTTCTGAAGCTAGACGGTTGCTGTTGAAGAGTCCCTTGCTTCCTCCACACACACCTTCTAAGCGGTGACAATAATAGATATGGCCATAATTGGTTATAGTGAGAATCGCAGCTGGACTCCGTGGGAACTGCATTTACTTCAATAAAGCTGGTTTCCCACAAGTATAATGGGAGAGAGTATAAAATGTGTAAAATCAGTGTGAGGTGTAGTGACCCTGGTTTATGTCTAGTTTTGTGATTTATTTTGAGGCACACAGCTCCTCAGCCCTCATCATTGATTAAGAACATGTCACTCCATAATAATAGCATTGTAACTTGTGTGATGGACACTGTATTTGGAACTCACACACATTTATGTGTGTGTGTGTGTGTGTGTATGTGTGTGTGTGTGTGTGTGTGTGTGTGTGTGTGTGTCTGATGATAATGTGTATCTCTTGTTTCTTGGGAAACCATGATTTAATACATTTTTAAAAACTCATGTGTGGTTTGCTTATAACAGTAGAAATGTCAGCAAATCAAGGTTTGAAATTATTCTTATAATGAATGGGACTTCAGTTACACCCATCTGGTTTACTCGTTTCATATTCTGTCTCATGATTGGGGTTGTGAGAAAGTAAGGATGTTTTCAGGCAAAGAACATGGTAAAACCATGAAAATCATTTCATCTAGATAGATCCCACCATAAAGTCACTGTATAACTTCATTTTGTAGCCAGGAAACTGATGCCTATGTAATTTTTTTTTCAAGATTCTTCCCACCCTTACTTTCCACTCTTGCCCTTCTCACAGATATAATTCTACATATCTATAGTTTGTCATTTGTGTTTCTGAAGTGAGAATGGCCTGCAGACCATTATTCAAATCCTCACATGGAGGGCTATGCTGTGGGACAATGATCTTGTACTTTGTAAAGATTTGTCATTTATATCTTAGTAAAACGCTGATCAGCCAGTAGTCAGGGGAGAGGTATAGGTGGGCCAACCAGGCAGGAAATAGAGGCAGGGTGATGAGAACAGAAGAATTCTGGGAAGAAAAAAGCTCAGTATGCAGTCATCATTCAGATGTAGAGAAAGCAAGATGAGAACACCTCACTGATAAAGGTACCAAGCCACATGGCTAACACAGACAAGGATAATGGGCCAATTGAAGATGTAAGAATTAGTAAATAAGAAACCTGAGCTAATAGGTGAGGCAGTTTATAATTAATGTAGACCTGTGTGTGTTTCTTTGGGACTGAACAGCTGCGAGACTGGGCTGGTCAGAAATCTCAGTCAACAGGGATATATATCTTCTAAATAGTTTCTTCTACTCCAGAAACTTTTCTTTTATTGTCCTCATAGGGATGTCTTTGACTGCCCCAAATTTAAAAATAAATTGTATATTAATAAGAGCTTGCTGAATGTGAAAATAATTCCCATTTTGTTCTAATCTTCTGTTATTGGAGGCACAAAATGTCCTGAAGAATTTCACCTCCATATTTTAGCTTTATCACCCTCAAGTAATGAAAACAACACATTTTTAAGTTCATAAATATATGTTAATGAAAATAATATACTAAGTAATTATTAAAATTTGTTTTTCTAAAATTTTATGGGCAAGTTCTCTATTTCCATCATTTCTACCCTTCCTGCTCTTGTTTCAACTCCTCACCTTTCACAGCCTGCCAAATCATTCTCTCTTCTCCTACATTTATTATTGTTAAATGTGTGCATCTATGTAACTCGAAAACCAAAAGCATCATAAATGCTTTGTTTGTTCAAAAGTGCAAACTTATAATTTTTTCAGATGTACAGTAGCTGAAGGGCACAAAGATTTAATATATAGACATATAACGACAAAAATACATGGAAAAGGAACTATTAAACTAGTATCAAAAATAAAATAGCATTATAAATTTTAAAGTGGAAATAAATAAAAGCTCCAGAAAATTTACTTTTCTAGAGATTCATGGGAAAAGACATTGCAAAGATGCCAGTCCTAGATATTTTAGCTTAGAAATTGAAAATGTTTGGGATTTTCATACCTATATTTATACATTTTACATACACACATACAAACTCTCACATACGAACATATTCATTCACTCTCAGACAAACTCTCTCTTTTTCTCTCTCTCTCTCTTTAACACACAGAAGCTCGTGTGTGTACACCCCACTCATAGACACGGACACACAGACACACGGTACACACACATGCACACACACTCCCTCATATGGCAATATTGAAATAGACTCTCAAACATGTTATTAGGCAACAGTTCAACTTTGGAGACTAGCTCAAAGGTAACAGATGTTAATTAAGAGTGATTTCAACATGAGCATCTTTACTGTAATTTGTTGACTTCTAAAAAAGATAAGGTGTCTACAAATCAATATAAAATAACAGAACTCAGTCTCATTTTAAAGCAAAAAATAATTTGAAGAAGTGATTGTTTTTCACCCTAGGAAAAATATCTAAGCTAGAAATTTATAAACATGAGGTATTTTTAAAGGACACAGAAATATTTGTCTTTCTGTAAAAGAAACCAGCCCAGAGATGCTGACTTATCAGAATGCTCACAAACTGAGAAGAAGGTGATTTCAAACCCACATTCAGAAATAAGATAGGCACTTCTAAATGCGGTGACATGGTGGTCTCATACCTCTGAATTCTAATATATAATTCACTATATCTGTCAGAAGAGACAAATACAACTGGCAATGCTCATGCAATACTAAAAAATAATAAAGCATAAAATGAAAAAGATCCATCCCAAAGTACTATAAAATGCCTGCAATTTTGCATCTCCATATCGCTTTCCCATGAGCTGGAATAACTTGATTTATTTTGATATTCCTGTTTCTAGGCATTTTCTGTAGCTCTTAGTAGACAAATATATGAATCTACACACCACCCACACACAGAGAGAGGATAAAGTGACAGAAAGCCCTTCATCGCAGTACTGCACGTAAATGAGAAATACCTTATTGGACTTGAAGTGATATCAGGGTCACGTGCTGTCACTTGGCCAATCACAGAATTCAAAGCAGCATTTTCATGAACTTCAAGGAGGTAGGTTGGTGAAGAGAAGACTGGGGGCTCATCAGCATCCTCCACAACAATTTTGACTGTGGCTGTATCCTTAAAGGGTCCCCTGCCACTGAAACGTGGGTCGATGTGGATATTGGCTGCCTCCACCTTCAGTGTATAGGATTTTTTGGTCTCAAAGTCCAGAGGCTGTTAAAAATAAATGACAAAGATGAATGCTTCTCTCTAAACCATAGCAGCAAGAACAAATGAGTATAATGTGGATGGATGGAAGTTATTCTCATTTAAGCCGGTTTGTGACTCTTAATGGGATCCATTCCCCTAGATTCAACCTGTAAATTTTGCAGGCATTTATTGATACATGTTTATTATACAAGCACAACAAGTCTAATCTATTGTTCTGTTTTGTTTCGCTCATTTCACTTAGAATTCTCAAAATATTCACAGTCATGAATTGTAACATCAAATTTTCGCTTCGGAGTCATAATAAAATTTTACTATTGATGATATGACCAGCATGCTAATCATCTGGTTAACTGGGTTTCTGCTGGTGGCAGATAAGGCAACACTGAATACAATCTCTATCTGTGAACAATATTTTATCATTTCTGCAACAGCGTGTGAAATAGAAAGGGTAGAAATGATCATTGTTTAGTCCAAGGAAACCTTACAACACATGATTTAGCACTAATCCTAACAAAAAGCATTTCATATCATTTCCAGAACATTTCTACTCTAACTGTTTGTGTGACTGAAATGGGGTTTGTAACTTTTTAGGACGTTCGTATGTCTCTGTCAGACGTGCTGTGCTATGGACCAGGCAAACATGCACAGAATTATGCTTTCATAAAGAACCCTAATTTGGTTTATGTTTAGAAAAATGAAGTGTGAAGACAAATAAATTGATGCAATTAGGTCCGACTTTGCTCCACACTAATCACTTAAAACCTGAAATTACATCATTGCTCTAACATCATTCCTTAACTGTTCAATAGACTTTGTCAATGATGAGTGTGAACTGAGTGATATAAGAGGATACATTCCCTCACATACATTAGAACCAGTCTGTACCAGAACCCATCCAGGCAAATTCCTGGCAACTTACAATACTCCACATTTTAAGAATGTAAGTCTGTCAAGATTCAAGAAGATAGTTTATGTATGCATTGCAATTTCTCAGAAGAAGCAGAACTTTAAATCTGCAATGCAGATTTTTAGAAAAAAGGAAGCTGGAACAAAAACTAACATCAGTGGAGTCTTACAGAGCACTTGCGCAAGATTAAATATATATTCTTATTTCAAACATCCAAGTTGATTTTTATATTTGAATGCAGATGTAATGGGACTTAGCTCTCCTTCCCAATGTTTTTGGCTAAACAGTGAAAACACACTTCCCTGTTGATTCTGAAAGAACAGTGTGTGTGTGTGTGTGTGTGTGTGTGTGTGTGTGTGTGTGTGTGTGTATAGTTTGGAAGAGATGATTTGGGATGGTATGAGAAAACTCAAACTCTGCTAATTACCTACACTTTAATAGGTTTGCTATTCCATGCACTTTATAAAATCTGCTCAAAATGTTCTCTGTAATGTGTTAATAGTATTGCTAATTGACTAATAGTAATTGTGTGTATTTTAAGGTACAATAGAATGCTAATACACAAAATGAGGACTTCATCAAGTCAATTGACATATCCATCACCACAATGTTTTATCAGTTTGGTAGGTATAAAGAATCTATTCTTCTAGAAATGCTGTCCCACATTGCATAAGATATTTTTAATACTGTCTAGTTTTCTAATTTTGGACCCTTTGATCAACGTCTTTCCTTTCTCTTCACCTCATGCCTTCATAATCTTCAGTCTCAGAGAGCTCTCTAAGCATTCTCCATGTAGATTCTAGATTCTTTCATAGAAGGAGCACAGGGAACAGTCTGCCTAAATGAGGATATGGGCTTCCTGTACCTTATTCCAATTTTTTTTGCATCAGTAAAAGCCAAAACCAAACAGTTATCCAAGAACAACTTGACTTTTTTCTTCTTTTTTGTCTATAATTTTTAGCCCTGCTTAACGAACACAAAACACACTCTGGTGTCCTGAGGACTTTATCAATTAAAAAGCAATGGCATTAGCCTATAAAAATTTGACCCCTCATATACTCTTCATGTCAAGAAGTATAATGTATATTCCTCCAAGTTCATAAATATTAGTGGACAGAATCCCAGTGAACAATCAATGTTTCAGTTTATAAAAGTACCTGGCAGGAACAAAAGATAGCAATTAATAAAAACATTAAAAATTGAATTAGGACATTTTATTCAAGGAAAATATGGTTATGAGTAGTTCAGCAATCGACTTAAACATAATTACACAGCACTCTACTAGATATACAAGCTTTTAAGTATTTTTCAACTGTTGGTTCAATGTTATATCCCAGCATGAGAATAGCATTGCTCACTAAAGAATTAAAATAAATATAGCCATATCTTCAATGTTGATTGCAAAAATTTTTAAACAAAAATATATTCAGAAGATTCTATATTCCCACTGTTGATGCTCTTCAATAAGAAAATTAAGATCACTACCTTTTCACATATATTTTTGATAACCCAGGTATTGAATGCAATGATAGACAAGCATACCGCCACTTAGCTACATTTCCAGTAGAAAATTATCTTCATGTCATACAATAGAATTGCATAGCAGGCTTAGTGTTGTGAATTTTAATTCTTATAAAGGGAACAAAGAAAAAATTATTGGTTCTGAGAGTGTGTCCCATTACATAATTCTTATTCATAAATTAGAAAATATATTTGAAACATTGTGGCCAACAAAGATGTGAAGATGAATACTGAAGAAAGTTCCATGTCTTCCATCACAATGGATCTCCCTTTACACAAGTAAAACTTTGTACCCATACCTCATAAGCTCTTTTTTACATACTTTGTGTCAAGCATTTGTATTTGTTCATGACCAAGAGCTTCTTTAAAAGCAAGAGTTTTCCGTGAGGACTTGGGGGAAATGTCAACACATTTGGGAGGGACAAATCAAGGAATGGGGGAGCAAAAATATGAGAGTTACACTGGGAAAGCCTAAAATCTTTTGAACTTATTGCATCTGGAACACAGCTGAGACATGTTCCCACTGAGAATCCATTAAAACTGCAGGTGATTGTTTCCTGGAGTAGTTTCATCAGTCAGTACTGTTTATTCAGTTTGTTCTCAATTGGTTAAGGGTTACTTGACTTCAGTGCGCTACATAAAGACTAAGTGATTTTTTTTTTTGCCTCAAAGCTGTGGGGGGTGGAGAATCACTGAATCGTAAACATGGACATAGTAGTAAGAGGCTGTTTCCCTTTGGTAACTGGTTTACCGGAGTGACAGCTGAAATGTGATGTGGTCCTAAGAGACTGGTGATACTGAACAGAGCTATTACGCATACTTTCTCATCCCACCCTTCCGCTTAAACTTAAGTGCCTACCGACTCTGGGTTCTGCCTGTCTACTCAGCTCTCAGAGATTTCAAAAGTCCAGTTACTAGGAGAGAGTTAAAAAATGAAGAAAATATTCTTTTTTAATTATTTATTTAACTTTATTTTTTTATGTGCATTGGTGTCAAGGTGTCAGATCTTGTGGAACTGCGTTTTCAGACAGTTGTGAGCTGCCATGTGGGTGCTGGGAATTGAACCAGGGTCCTCTGGAAGAGCAGACAATGCTCTTAACCACTGAGCCATATCTCCAGCCCCAAGCAAATATTCTTTAGCTTACCTTTCTTAGTCTTATAACACCATCCTGGGCCTGGGCATCAGAAGTGATTTCAAATAGTGCTGTTCCATCTCCATCAATGATGTCATAGGATGATTGTGCATTTTCACCAATATCCTGGTCATTAGCTTTCACCCTTCCTATTGCAGTGCCAAGAACCACATCTTCTGGTACTGAGAAGTGATACAAACCTTTAAAAAGAAGAGACACACTGGGTAGTACACCAATACTGTTCACTCACTGATTAATTTAGCACAGTTAATTGGACATTTCCTATCTTCTGGATATCCATAGAAATGCTACCAAGATGGTGGTAGTCATGGCAGAATACCTCTTCTATGGAATGTGCAGTCATTGAACAAGTGTGAAACAAGTATTTGAAAGAAGTAGTGAACCGTCTTCAACACTCTTCAGAGACAGAGAGCCCTTAACTCTTCAACCCTATTTTTGCCGAGTATTTGTTTAAAGTAATCATGTCAGAATATTAGTTAGTCTATGTGAATTTTCTTTCTTACTTTCTGTGTAATCACATTGCCTGCCCGTGGGGATATTCATTGCTGCCCCATATAAAATACTAAGCTAATACAATACAGAGAGCTGTAATGTGTAACATGCTGAAAGTCACTTTTGAACTTGCTTTTATATTTACTAACTTGTAGACCATTTTTGATAAAATCCAATTACTAAACTGCTGCCATGCCCTGCAGCAAGCTGTCCAGATACATGAAATACTCCTCTTGTCACCAAGTTCCTCATTGCTCTAAAGACTAAAATCCTACCTTCAAAACTCCCTAGGCAAAAATACAATTACAGTGTGTTTTCATTCTCCTATGGGGACAGTAAAGCACATCTAATCAGTGACATTTGTCCTATTTTTACTCCAATTTCTTGGTTGAGATGCTAGTTGCAATCGTGTTCATTGGTATAGCGGAAGCTGGTGGTACTTGACCACTCTCCCTGGCCATTAACACATTAGTGTTCACCTGCCCTACATCTGTCTACCTGTTCTTGCATTTCTTTGCCTCGGGGGTTTTTCTTACCATCAGATTCCATTTCATCCATTGCATGTCAGGCAAAAAGAACCATTCCAGCACTGATTTGTTTCACGGGAGCCATCATCAGAGACTCACAGGAGTTAGTTTATGAAATGCTATACTCCACCCTTTTCTGAAGGGATATCTTTGAGTCATTGCCTTTTTTTTTAAAAAAAAAATACAGTTTCCAATAGTTCAGGCTCTTCTCAGTAGTTTAAAGGTACATGAATCCACAGTGCTAAGTGTTTGGATTGTGCACCCCTTTGGCTTTCTAACATGCCTCTTCTTACTTCCCCACTGCTGTTCCTTGAGAAAGTTCGATTACTTAGATTCAGGTTCTTTTTTCAGGGCCTGATTCAGGCAAACTGAACCTCAGACAATCAGAAAGACTGAGTCCTAATGCAATCACCAGGGGAAAACAACCATTCAATGAACAACAAGCCCAAAGGATAAGTTAAATCTGTAGAACATTACCTAATTACAGTTTAAACGTGAATGGTGAATCCCTGAATAACTATGATTTGTATTATCCAGTAGAATTTAAGACTTGTTCATTTGATGAGTAAAGATCCTTGAACTCCTTTCCTTAATGATAAATTAAAACTCACTTGGAATCATAATGTTATGGGTCTGAAGAAGAAAACCACTTTGCAAATAGTTTTACCATAAAGTGGACAAAGAAAATAATTCTGTCTAACAAAGCTGTCCAGTTCTTTCATGGTTTTTATTCAATGTGAATTTGGAGACTATCCCTTCGGTGTGCTTATACAAATTATCCAGTGAGTGGATTTTACCTTACTGCCAATCCTACAACAAGGAGCCTTGAAAAGTCAAGAAAATAGAACATTCCTTTATCCATTGCCATTCTGTGTACCAGTCTTTTCTTTAGGGATACCAATCAGCTCCCAAATCATGGCACAGAGACTCATTATTCTTTTTACGAATGCCCTGTCCCAGCTTAGGCTTGTTTCTGCCTAGTTCTTTTAACTTAAATTGACCGGTTTCTCTTTATCTACCCTTTGCTTCTGGGCTTATTACCTTCTTACTTCTGTATATCTTACTATTGCTGCTACTCTAAGTCTGGCTGACTAATGTCTGCCTGGCTTCTTGCCCCTGGTGTGTCCCTAGGTCTCTCCTCCTCTCAAATTTTCTGTTCTCCTTTATCTTCTCTATGCCTGCCAGCCTTGTTTATACCTCTTTTGCTTAGCTATTGGCTATTTAGCTCTCTACTAGAGCAATCAGGTGCCTTAGGCAGGCAAGCTGAAACAGATGCAACATGCCTTTACATAATTAAAACTGCATCGTTACATTCAATGTTAAACAAATGATGCATGAAAAACTGCAACACATCTTTGCCAACTTTAAATGATATTCCACAACAGTACTGTGTGTTCTTGTCATCTTCATCAGGGTAATAATAGTTAATAATCATTACTTCAACAAAAGGGAATGCTTTAGAAACTCAACTATCACTGCTAAAATGCAATAATCATCTTTTGGCAAAAGATGAACTACATAGTACTGAGTGAACTGCAGAGGTAGCAGGAAGCAAAATGAAAGACTGGGTAAATGGTAGGATCACTTATTTCAATAATTCTTCTTAAAGGAATGATAATTCATAGAGGAACAGATAAAAGTTGTACAATTCTCTATGAAAATATATCTCTGACCTTTCTGGCTTGGAAGTTTTATAAATGAATTCTCAATTACTCATTAAATGTTTAAAGCTTCACCCTTCTCCTCCATTCTCTCCACTCATTTCCTTAGTTCCTCTCTTTCTTTTCACAAATGAGTTTTCATGTGGTGTTTCCTAAGCCAGCAGGAAGTTCCACTAGGTCCTTAGATGCTAATATCAATAATGTGAAAAGCTATCTTCTTAAAAATCATAAGGCAATCTATCCTTGGACTTGCATAATTAACATTTAAGGGCTTACAGACCCTATATTTTATTTTGCTTGCACCTCTACAATCTTTGTATAGCACAATTCCTAACATTATTCAAATGAAAGTTTGTAAACTTCTAATTGAAGGGTGTAATGTGATAAAGGTACAGTCCTATTTATTTATTTATTTATTATTTATTATTTCTCTTTAACAAACTCAATCAGTTTAGTTAAGATATTTTAATGATTTTCTAATGATCTTAGACTAACCATCATGGTACTCATCTTGGTATATTAATTCAATCACAGCTCATATGTCTGTATCCTCATTTTTTAGTACCTTGCAACAAACTTAACTCCTGGTTTTCTGGATTTCAATGGCACCAAATTTTTTATGATTTTTATTTTATGTATTTAGGGGAACAATAATTTACTGTATATACACAATCTCTAACTCAGAAGAGAATATACATGTACAAATTGAGGGCAATACTAGTTACAATGCCTCAAAAATAGAAATAAGTGGTATGCCTATTGATGTAAGATTAGTTATGTAAGTATGTTACATATGCAGTGTATTTTTCAATCTTAAAAAAATGAATGTCTTTTCATTGACAGCATGGCTGCAAATAGAGGACATCACATTAAATTGAATTACCTAGATATTAAAAAAATCTATCTAATTTTACACCCAGTCAGAATGTTTAAAAGTAAATATATGTAGATATGCAAACATGCTATTGTGGATATATGTATTTGTAACCACAGATTTTTTTTTTGTACTGGTATCTTCTCTCCTTTCATTGTCTTATTGATTTCTTCCTATTCCATATAATTCCCTTCATTTCTCACTTCAAGAGTCCTTCTGTTATGTCTGGAAAAATTTATTGAAGCATTCCTTCATATAATATTAAATGAATAAATTCTTATAGGAAGTTTCTTTTGAAAGGATAATGATATATTTAAATAATGGTCATCAGCCTGGACCACTAACAGTGGCTGCCTAGAATTCTGTTGAGGTTGCTAAAGATGAACAACAGAATGAAGACAATGGAACCTAAAGTCTCTCCTGGTGGTAGGAATTTGGAAGCAATTTTAATGCACGGTTTGTTTCCATACTACAGACTTTATTTCTTTTCTACAATGATACAAATAATGGATCAATATCAGGGGCAAATTTTCATCATTAACTTAAAGTTCTTTCTGATTTATTATCTACTGCACCTATGATATTTGGGATTTTCCTCAATGTCCTTTAAATTATAAAAATGGAGATAAATGTGTGTCTTGACATGCTTTTCAAATAAGCAGTCTATAACTCTTATTGGGTTGTAATGCTGAGGAAAATTTTACTAGAAATCAGCCTGATTCGTGACTAGTGCAGGAAATCACTTACTCTGTGCAAATTTTGGAGGATTGTCATTAACGTCAGTAAGGGTCACTGTAAGTGTTGTGGTTCCAGACAGACCTCCAGAGTGTCCTCCCATATCTTTGGCTTGAATTACGACTAGATACTCCTCCTTGGCTTCTCGGTCCATGTTCGGAAGGGCAGTTTTTATAATAGCTGAGGGAAGCAAATGGAAAAATGAACTTCAGTAGACCATTCATGAAGCGATTAGTATGTCTCACACACACACAGATACACAGACACACATATGAATGCATCAAGAGCAGGCTCGAGAAAATTTTGTTTTCGGCTGATATTTAACTGGTATATGTCTGTAATATTAATGTTGAGTCTTAATGAGGTCATAGGCATTTATAGATAACCTGCAAAAGCACCTATTGTAAGGCTTTATGAGAATTTGTAAAGATATACTTTAGAAAACAAACTGCCTACCAAATTAAAGTATAAATCACAGCCTAGACTCATCTTAGCAGGAAAACCCTGCAAGTGAAACAATGCTGCAATTTATCACACACCCCAATTCCCTTAGAAGATGAGTAAATCAACAAACGGCTTGGAGGCTCTAAGGTCAAAGATAAATTATTCTTTGGCTCACAGATACATTAAGAAGGTGAACAAAATAAATGAATTAGTATAATCAACTCAGACAAATAGAACACCAATCAGAAGTAAAACAGACAGATGCTGAAATCCTAAGATAGTGTTATTCACATACACTTACATTTGGCAATTTAATTGTAAAATTTTCTCTACTATAAAAATGATAACCGTGTTAGAAAACTAGTAAGATACAGAAAAGTGAATGCAAGGAGAACCACATCACTGCTATGCTCTTTGTGTAGTTTTTTCTGATATGTTTTTAAAGTTTAATTAGATATGCCTAATAAGGTAGATACAGTAAAATTATTATTTTAGTATGTTGTTAGATGTACAAATCTGATTATATATCTTTGAAGTTATTCTGAAAGCTTTTTACATAGTTCTCTATCTACTCACATGCCTTTTTTCATTGATAAATATTGCCCAGATTCTAATCGAATGTCAAGTTCATCATGTGTTTAGTATTTATATGTGTATGTCCTTGGAAACATACAATCACAAATGCAAATGCAATACTACCATTTTTCTCACATTTTAATATTTTACAAAATGAATGCCATTTCTTTTGCAGTACATTGTTTCTAATCCCACTGGTCCTTACAGGCACACATGGGTCACAAGTTTACCACAAGTTTGTTAAACAGTCTCATGGTGACACATATCCAAGCTATCTAATTCCCTCACCTTTCCAGCACCCAGTAATTTTGTTATGACCTTGCAACCTACATCTTTTGGTGCTTTATCTTTTTCCTTTTCCTTCTTCTTATCCACCTGCATGTTCTTCTTTTCCTCCTTCTCCTTCTACTTTTTGGCTGTTTTCTCTTTTTCACTGATAGGCACACCCAAGATCTCATGATTTCTAGTCAAGTACTACTACTGAGCTCTGTCCCCCGCTCAGTGCTATGCTTTCCTGGTTCTTATCCTTTCACTAAGTATGCATCAAAGGAATCCTTTCTTCATTTAAGTTCTCACAATTATATAGTCCTATTGAGCGGTTGCATATTAAAATGAGGTTGTAACTTAAAAAGAAATATCTGTCCAAATTTTAAAATCATCGCTAGCACCACACCACCATTATATAGGTTAGCTCCATCCCTCATTTCCAGACCCCAAACATAATAAATGTTGATGATCCCACTCTCTCTTTCAATTCCATACCTTCATGAATATAGATAACTCCTACCCTCATTTCTAATCCAACACCCTTACTGTTTATCGATTCTAAAACCACACTTACAAATTTCTTTTAGAACTCACAGTTTTAATTAAAACTGGCCGTCTGTGAAGGATTTCCAAAGAGTTTGGATCTTTGAATAACTTGGGTAGCATGAGAGGTGTGAAAGTATCAAGAGAAATAGGACTCATCCAAGCACTAAACATACTGGGATAGGCAGTGAGTTCTTTGCATGTCATTATTCATTGACAGCACTTTTGTATCAAGGCTACCCATACAGTCAGTAGTTCGTTGAATTACATTGTTTGTTTACAAATATTTGCCATTTAATAATTATATATTTCAAATAAAATCATTTATTACAATATTCGATCATGATGTATACAACTCAGAGATCACACATCTGTTGTTTGAAGGAGGCTGCTTGTTGGTTCCTGACTGTTCATCCCCAAAATAATAACACAGAAACTGTATTAATTAAACTGCTGCTAGGCTCAAAGCTCTAGCTTCTTTTTGGCTAACTCTTACATAATAATTTAACCCATTTCTATTAATCTGTGTGTCGCCATGTAGCAGTGCCATAGGTCTGTATCAATTATAGAATTCTGTTTGCCTCCAACAATGATACCTAGCTTTCATAGTCCCTAAAGTTAATCTATATTGATTGTCCCTGAGAATATTTTCCTTAATTGAAGAAAAGTATACCCATCTTCTTATCTTATCAACAATCTTCCTAAGTTTCTGCCTATGGAAAATAGTTTTGAAACACACAGAATTCACTATTTTACCTTGTCAAGTGGTGATAATAGTAAGTTTCTATAGTAGGAATTCTAAGACAACTAAGATACATACATCAAAGTTTTGGAAATACTCCGGTGTATTCCAAATTCTTCCCTCCCCAACATTTGTCCAACCTTTTCTTCTCTTTGCCCAACCTTACTGTAGTTAATCCTTGTCTTGATGGTAGAGTTCTAAGTATTTTCCAGCTGTTCCCCAGTTCTATTATGTACACTCTGTGCTGACTCTCAACAATGAAGAATGACATTAATGCTTTGCTCAAGAAAACCTATTACTTTCTGAGTTTCTGCAATATTTCACCATTTCAGATCATTTTAGAAGGTGGTAAGAGTGAATAAGGGTGAGTTTCCAGACTGCTTAAGAACCTTCATCACATACATGGACACTCTTTCTTTTTTTTTTAATTTATACTTATTGCTGTAGCAAATCTCTGTCTAATATCTCATTGTCTGTCTTACACCTTGAAGGATAAGGTTGTTGATGGCACTTCTGTTGCCAGTTCTGGATGCTTCACTTGTGGTAACCATTAACCAAATCATCTTTTGTCGTGAGCCCTTGTGTTAAGTTTTTCCTAATTACCCATTCGTGTCAGGAGTATAAAATAAAGTTGATCTGTTATTACATTCTAATCCAAGGGCTAAACTCATTGCTAGCATTGTTGTTTCCCAGGTAGTGATAGCTCAGAAGTATTTTCTTTGTAGTCCCAAGGCTGGATCACTGAAAAACAGAGTGTGTACAAGCCTAGCAACAAAATAAAAATACTACCTTAAGTGAGTAATTCAATAATACCAAATTGGAAAGTTTTCTGTCTAACGACTTTGCTCTTTATCTTCTCTTCTAAGAGGTTGGGAGTAACTTTCCTGATTGATAAAGCAAGTGGGGATTCCCTCCAAGGTTTCTTCAGGACACACAACACAAGTAATTGGCTTCAGTTCAAACTGTATAATGAACAGTTTGCCAGAGCCTACTGCCTCTAATCTTAACCTCAGTACTAGCAGCAATTCATTACGAAATCCAAGGCAGAATTTCTAGAACTTTCTATGCAGCAACCCTGTGGCTATAAAGGCAGTGTAGTTGAAACTGCTAGTGCCTTTCATCTACCCATTTTTCTCTTTGTGTTGTGTCCTAGCTAGACATGTTACTTGAGATTTTTTATTTCTATTCAAAAGACAGGTCATTTCACTTCCACAACATCGTAAGACTTTGAAAACTCTTAAAATAGAAGACTGAAATTGCATTGAATGTCTCTTCAGCTTTGACTCATATTTTTACACCCAGTTCAGCAGCTGTTGGTGTTTATGAACCAGAGGATTTTTTTAATGAAAATATATTGGTTAGTCCTTTATATCCTCTAAGTTAGAGCAGAAAATGAGTAATTGGAACAGGCTGTTTTTCTTCTCAGATTTGTAGTTCAAAAAGTTGGACACTGAAAGAGACAAAAATCTTCACTTAACTAGTCCTGCTTGTCAGTCTCCAGTTTTGATTTTAATAAAGGGAATAGGAGCTTCTTAGCACCTTTATATCACACAGAATAAACCAAAACGACCTTTTGGTAGTCTTGATTTTTAAGAACTCGGTATTGCTCAAGATATGAAGCACACATCCCTTTTATTATCATATTACCCTGTGTTTGTACATGTTCTTATGTGTGGATAGTCACTTGTTTGCCATGCTCAGCTGCATGTTCAAGAGGTCATGTGTACTTAACACTCCTTTGCAACTTTGTAGCAAATTAGGGAATATATTTTTCAAAATATTATCTGACAAAATATGTTTTCTTTTTTATTAATTTTTATTGAGCGTTACATTTTTCTCTGCTCCCCTCCCTGCCTCTCTCATCCTGTGTGAAATACTTTATTCTATACTGTCTAGTTAAGTCCCTTGATGTGAGGTTTTCTTTTTTTTTAACTTGCCACTTAAGATAATGGGTTTTATTATGATGCTTTCCTACACATATAATACTTTATTATGCGCTTGTCCAGTCTCTCTGCCCCTTCCCCTCCACAACAGCCTCTACACTTCATACTGACTCTTATTTATCATCAATAATTTCTCCTCTGCTTGTCTTGTCATGATGTGTTTGAGGAATAGTTTCTAATAAAGAAAACCAAGTAGTTTTTCAAACCATAAATATTCCAGAAGAACTTTGAGTCAACACAATTATTTATTACACTTTGATTCCTAAATTTTATAAATTTACACATTAGTATTACCTCTAAAGTTTAGATGGTCCTCTTCTACAATTATGTAACCTTGTTTAGATCCCACAACATCCCCACAATTAAGTGTTGTCTTTGAAAAATGAAGAGCCCTAACATTTTATGTGTTTGAGAAAAGTCAAGCATAATTGCATTGTTCCTGAGGCAAACAACTTGGTACTTACAGTTTAGAGGATAAAATATCAAGTGGTGGTACCATTTTGTGATGTGGTAGAAGCTCTAACAGTTAGTGACTAAGTGGGGGAGTGTCGATTATTGAGTGTTCTATTGAAGGTTATATACCTTTTCTAAAAACCTTTCTCTTTCTCTGCATTTTGTTCACCGTCAGAACATCTTCCTTCTACCCATGTTTCTTGCCTCATGTA